TGCCCGGGCCGAGGTGGGGCCGGGCGGCGGAGAGCTCGGCGGCAGCGGCAGCAGGAGGATGGGGAAGGGGCGCGGCTGCCCAGGCCGAGGTGGGGCCGGGTGGCAAAGGGCCGCGGCGGCAGCGGCAGCAGGAGGACGGGGAAGGGCCGTGGCTGCCCGGGCCGAGGTGGGGCCGGGCAGCGGAGAGCTTATATCGGCGTATAACACGCACACATTTGCCCCCTATTTTCAGGGGGAAAAAGTGCGTGTTATACGCCAATAAATACGGTAACTTGCATAATTGCAAAATGGACATCTGTGTCCCTGAAGTTTGAGGTAATATTTTACTTCTGCTAATAATTTGCTTTAAACTTTGACTATTTTATTGAAACATTCAGTTATATGAACAAATGCATTCTCAGGAATAATTCCTTTGCTTTTTGCAAATACTGTGATCTGTTCATAATAATCATGGTTCAGCCTTTGTCTTCTAGTATGATGCTGATAGTCTGATCCTTTTTTAAATTTCTGAGGGCCGCTCTGTCCTTGTCTTCTTCTGTTCTGTAGAATGATGATTTATCTGATGTTTTCTTGGACCTTTGTGGGAAGTCCAGTACCGTATTTTCCAGCGTATAAGACGACTGGGCGTATAAGACGACCCCCAACTTTTCCAGTTAAAATATAGAGTTTGAGCGAGAGGGGGGGGGAGAGAAAACTTGATGAGTAATATGCCAAACCACATGTGTAAAGGAATAAAATAGAATACCCGTATTTTCCGGCGTATAAGACGACTGGGCATATAAGACGACCCCTGACTTTTGAGAAGATTTTCAGGGTTTAGAAAGTCGTCTTATACGCCGGAAAATACGGTACTTTTAAATGCTCCTTCTAAGCCTGCAAAAGATTCAAGGTGATTGGCATCATCTGAAATGAATGGTTGTAAGTTGAGAACACCTGTATGTATTTCTAGTCTTGTTCTCCAATAAGTATTTTTATTTGAAAGAAAGTATCTCCAAAGTTTTTACACTAGTTTCCAAAAAGCATATTTGGTTTTTGAATTTGGCAGTGTTAGCCAGTTTTGCAGCAGATGCAGCTTAATGATGATATACAATATACAGTTGTGTTGTTCCTTCTTTCTCTGTACGACCTGAAACTAAATTATTTCAGAGAAGCTACTGTATGTTTCCTCCTCGTCTCTCATTCCTCCCTCTCTCTCCCTCTCTCTCTCTCCCTCTCTCTCTCTCTCTCTCTCTCTCTCTCTCTCTCTCTCTCTCTGTGTGTGTGTGTGTGTAAATGTGTAAATGTGTATGTATTTAAAACAGGATCAGATTCTTGTTCATTCTTGTGAATAATATACTATACAGTTAGTTAACTGTCTTAAGTGAGTTTGTGAATCATGGCAAATGCCTTTTAATATCATGTGAGGAGGATTTATGGCCTTGAGTCAGAAAGCTGACCTAGTTTCCTATCTTGAAAATAAATGTTCAGTACATGCCACCAGCCCTTTTTCCTCAGTTGCTTGACCATATCCAATTACTTTGACAGATGTACTTCTTTCATCCTAATCATTTGACACAATTAATAAACACAAACTAGGATGCTGTTATAACCAGAGGACAGATCTGTGGTATTATTCTGCAGCAGCCAACAAAACCCCATTTTATTCTTCATTGAAAATCTAATAAATAATGAGTGTTCTAGTATCATTTACAAGAACCATAGAAATAATTGAGAATTATATCTCATTTCATAAAGATAAAAGAGTTCCTCTCCCAGTAACAATAGCTGTGAAATTCATCTCACTCTTGTTATACATTACACAATCTCTGCTATAAATATTTTTATAATTGAGAAAATTAACTGAAATTTTTGCTAAAAAGCAATATTATGTCACTGATTTTTATCAGAAATTATTTAGTTTAAACAGTTTAACTTTTTAAATAAAGGATAATAAAAAACTGTTAAGCCACCATTAACGGAAGAAAAATCCCAACTCATGTTCACATAGTACTCAAGTTTCTTCATTTTTATATTTTTATATTTCGTTGATATTCTCTATTTTTGTATTTCAGTAACATTTTCAGGAATTTAAGAAGCCAATTTTTGAGTTCAGAATGTAATGCATTATAAACATTCCTAGAAACAGATGGTGGTGTATTAGATTAGATGAAATCAATTTGTTTAAACTTAGATCTGCTATATCGGTAGCTAACACAAAACCATGTGTGCATTTAATTTAATTTAATTTAATTTAATTTTACAAAGGAAAGTCTAAGGAAGCAGGAATTATCCTTCTCCTCAGCTAATTCTCTAAGGAAGTGATATAAAACTTCCACTTGGTGGAGAGTTTGAGTGGTCTTTCTCTGACATATCTAGAACAGGGCTTTTCAACCTTTTCACAGATTGTACCACTTTTAGGGTATGGCAATATTCGAATGCCCCCAGTCACCTAGCAAGATATCAAAACTTGATGACTGGGGAAAAAAGGAAAAAAGTGATAAAGTACAGGTAGTCCTCAACTTACAACAGTTTGCTTAACAACTTTTCAAAGTTACAATGGCATTGAAAAAAGTGACTTATGACCATTTTTCACACTTATGACTGTTGCAGCATCAACAGGATCATGTGATTTACATTCGGATGTTTGACAACTGATTCATACTTATGACGTTCACAGTGTCTCAGGATCATGTGATCCCCTTCTGCAATCTTTTGACAAGCGAAGTCAATGGCCAGGCGCAATGTTGCTCAGGTTATGGGGTGCCTGTGGGGGGTGCAGGTGGGGCTGTGGGGGGATCCGGAGGTCGCTGGTGGAGGGGGGTGGGACTGGGGTAGGCACCAGAGCATGGTCCACCGGAGGAGCCTCGCTGTCCCTCTTGGGCCGCACGAGGGACTCCCGGACAGTGGCGGCTGCCCAGAGCCCTGGGAAGCAGAGGGTAAGCACCCAGCCCTCAAACTCCCAGGGCACCAGGACCCTGCAGCCCAACCAGTCCAGCCCCACTTCCCTGAGGGGGCACCCAGCTGTGCTTACCTCCTCCTCCAGGCGGCTGTGCTGATGTGCCCGTTTTCCTTGGCCAGGTTGCAAGAGTATATTTTCACCATCTGTTTTGTTAAAGTTTCATCTAAAGTTTAAATAGTAATTATTGAGTTTTTGTGATACATCGTTTCACTTGAATCATATTCACAGAGCCTTTGGGTTTGTATGCATCTGTGACGATGTGCTCTGTGTTGATCTACGTTGTTCTGTGAGGCAGGACTGATACTCATGTAGCAGAGAAGGAATAATAATGTCATCCTCCTTCGGTGGTAGAATTAATTGTGATTTTAGCATTGGTTTTCCTGACAGTTTCACTGAAAATCACATTATAGCATTGCTGTTAGAAGGGCAACTTATATCCGGGTGATGTTTGATTTGTTTGTTTGTATCCCACCTTTATTATTTTGTAAATAGCTCAAGGCAGCGAACATTATCCAACACACTGTCTTCCTGTTTTCCTCAAAACAATTACCACCCTGGGAGATGGGTTGGGCTGAGAGAGAGTGAAAACCCAAGGTCACCCAGCTGGCTTTCATGGCTAAGGTGGGACTAGACCTTGTGGTCTTGCATTTTCTAGCTTGGTGCCTTAACCACTAGACCAGGGGTAGGCAACCTTGGCTCTTTTATGACTCGTGGACTTCAACTCCCAGAATTCCTGAGCCAGCTGTGCTGGCTCAGGAATTCTGGGAGTTGAAGTCCACGAGTCATAAAAGAGCCAAGGTTGCCTACCCCTGCACTAGACCAAGCTCTCTTTGTGATAAATCCTTGGACACTGCAAATTGAAAGAAGACATTGGCAGATTTGCAGATTGGTTTTGCGAGAAAACAACCATGCTCAGAGACCATCAAGGAGACTTTGCTCTCTATACTGCAGAAAGTAACAATATTATTTGTTTCTAATTTCTATTTGATCTATTCTGCAATATTGGTAGGAACATAAATACAACTATGAATATCTTCTTCATCACCTTTACTATTCTAGTGTTTTCCTGCAGGTGCAGAATCTGCTTTTCGAGTCAACTAATGCTGCTTTGCATGATCAAACAAAGCAAATATTATCAATATGCATGTATTTATATTCCTTTCTTTCATTTCTTCACTGCAGTTATTCCTGACTCCCTACGAGTAACTTCAGAAACCCAGACTCTAAAGAAAGTACAACATGATTCTCTGGAGCTAAAGTGTGAGATTACCAAGAATACTGAACAGCACAGCCACATTTCCATTGCCTGGTATCGTCAGAAAGCAGATGAGCCTCTTGTGGAAGTTATTTCTCTCAGTAAAGATTTTGTACTGCGTGCGGGAAGTGAATACATCCAGCGCCATGCAAGTGGAGATGTCCGTCTTGATAAAGTAGGCGAGACTGAATCTAAGCTTACTATCTACAATCTTCAGTCCTCTGATGAAGGCGAGTTTTATTGTGAGGCAGCCGAATGGATTCAGGATCCTGATGGCACTTGGTACGCTGTGACACGCAAGCAGTCGGAGAGCACTATGGTCTATGTGGAAGGAACAGGTTAGTGTGCCAAAAAAAATTCATTTTTGGGATCAGGGGATTTAGGTTAGACCAGTGATGGTGAACCTTTTAGAGATCGAGTGCCCAAAAACTGGCCCCGCCCCTGTTCCACCCCCCGCCCCGCCTCCGCTCTTCCCCCCATCCCCCATCCCGCCTGCCCACAGGACCACTCACAGCCTCCAGGGCCCGCCACAGTTCGCCCAGGCAGCCCAGCACCGCTATGGGTGGCCACACCCTCTGCCCTCGCCCTGCAGCATCAACTGCATGATGGGGTGTGAGGGCAGAGTCTTGTCTATGCTGCCTGGCTGCCATGTCCTTGGCTGTGCTGCTCCATGTGGGCCACGCTCGAGGGCGACTCTCCTTCAGGGGGGCTGCTGGAGAGGAGGGGGTCACGGGGGGAGGCAAGGCTGGGGCAATGGCACGTGTGCCCACAGAGAGGGCTTCGAGTGCCACCTCTGGCACCCGTGCCATAGGTTCACCACCACTGGGTTAGACAGTGTAATTTTATTAGGAGGAGCTTCACAGACTTTGCATCCTTCGTTAATGTTGACCACTATATTACTACCAAAAGGTTTTCAGGACTATTACGTAAAGTAGTGGTTGGAAGCGTAGAACCTATACTATATGGTACCATATACTGTATACTTCCATTTCTACAATATTACTGTACCACCATCTGGTCAGAAACCCCTTAGAAATTTCTGTGACCATTACTGTTGGGAATGAAGGTGTACTTTTACATTTTGATACCCCAAAAATCCTCTTCAGCTGAAGGTGTCCTAGCACTAAATGATAAGCAGGAATACTGTAAGAGAACTTTTGTTTGACTGAAAAGAAAATGTAGTTCTTTAGAGAAAGTTTTATAGAAAATGATTTGGCAATGCAAGTGTATAAACCTTACTAGTATGAATATGTTCTTGCATATATAGAATATTTTATATCAAAGATAGAATAATTTTTTATTTATTGTAAAATTGGAGTGCAACTTGATTCTTCAAATGTTTTTGATTATAACTTCCATAATTTCTTGCAAATGATCATACTGGTTGGAGTGATGGCTTAGTCCCATACTGGGTTCATTTTACTTAGCACAATTCGAGCCAGTAATCATTCTGAGAGAGGAATTTGAGGTTCAACACTTATTTCTGTGCAGAAATAATGCTTGGGATCCAAGTCCAAATCAAGCAAGTCTGATACTTAACAAGCTGTTTTTATACTATTAAGCCATATTAGTATATCATAATTTCCTGACATTTTTTCATTTGGTCTTGATTTATTGAAGACATGCACAATTTAGGCTAGCAACCCATAATAAACACTTACTTAGTTAAAGTCTCCACTTCTGGGTATGTTTTTTTAACATGCCAATGATGAATTTTTTACCTCTGCACCTTTACCTGAGCATTCTTGACCGTAGCTTAAGCTAAATGCCACTTTACCTTTCCTTGTTCCAATAATGGGCTCACTTGCAAAAATTTTCAGCAATTACAAAGCCACAGTGGTCAGCTACACTAACACTTCCTTTAACTGGACCATTTGATCAGCCTCTTTGACTTCCTCTGGTAAGTGTCAGAGTAGGTGTTAGCTACCTGCTGACTTAATATAACAATGCCAAATCAAGTAAAAGCATAGAGAGACTGTTTAAGATGGACTAGCTCTGGTTGATGCTAATTCATGACACTTGCAAAAGCCCATTAATAGTTTGCTAGCAGGTTTATAGCGTAGGACCTCAGGAGCTAATTACTATTGGAATCCAAAACATCTGATAAGCCTCAGGTTGCCTCATTGTGTTACAAAATATATTGCCTTGCTTTAGGATATTTAAATTTCTGTACAACACAGTTTATGAAAACCTACAAAATGGGGAGTATTCTTTATTGTACATTGTACATGCACCTTTTTTCTTTTCTTTGCAGTTAGCATTTCTATATTCTATATACAGTTTCTATATATTAAAGGGGTTCATAGTTTTTTTATGATTGTTTTTCATATAAATGAAAATACCTTAATATTCATATAAAATGTTCATTTACTCTTTTCAGTGCCTTTATTAAGCTATGTTTTACCCTGTGTTGTTGTTGTCCTATGTTGTGGTTCTTTTTAAATGGTGATGTCCTGTTTTTGGCTCATCAGTCAGTAGTTTTGGTAGGAATTGCTTATTTAGAATAAATCACAGCAGTTGTTTCTAGTCTTTTGATGTATTCAGTACATAAATTAATACAAACTGTTTACTTATGTAACAAGCCAAAATTTTGAAGTAGAGAACATTGCTAATAAAAACTCTTTTAAGAGAGCATGTTCCCTGAAAATAAGACTTACCCTGAAAATAAGACCTGGCTTGATTTTTGGGGTGGGCCTAATATAAGTCCGACCCCAAAAGTAAGCCCTAGCTGTGTGGTTGCCCGGCGGATGGGGGGTAGGCGTGGACAATTTGACATCTCTCGTGTGAGAAGTGAGGGAGCCGGGGGAGGCTGGAGGAGGAGGGACAGGAACTACGGCGTTTTGCATGGTACAAATGAGGTAGAAGATACTGTTACCGCACCAAAGCCATTTAGTCAATCTGTTAGCATGTAAGTAGCTAGCAGGTATGGATTCAGCTTTTACACTCTCCCTTGACTAGAAAGGGTATAATTCAGGGATTGCTCCCCTTTTTTTTTTTAGCACAGCCCAAGCTCCCCGTGCTTCTTTCCAATTCTGCCTCAAAACCTCAGCAATTCAGTTCTCTCCCGGCCTTCCCAGCATGCAAACCTAACCCCACCCCCTTCCTTCCATTACTACCTCCTCATTTACCTATTTCCACCTTTCTAGTCAAGGGACAGTGTAAAAGCTGAAACCACATTCACTGCTCATCTCGGACTAAATGGCTTTGGTGTGGTAACAGTATCTTCTACCTCATTTGTACCATGCAAAACTCTGTAGTTCCTATGCTCAGTCCCGCCTTCCAATCTGGTCCTCCAGCGGGCCTGCTGCCTGCCACCCCACCCACAATGGCCCTGCCCCCTCCTTTTGCCTTTGCCTGGAAAGTAAGACACCCCCAAAAATAAGCCCTAATGGGTCTTTTGGATCAAAAATAAATATAAGACCTTGGGTTATTTTGGGGGAAACACAGGTATTATACAATTCAATTCTTGAATTGATACAATATAAATTGGTATAGTCCTTCAATCTGTTAGCATGTAAGTAGCTAGCAGATTATTATTTTGCAAAAAATTAGTATCTAATTGTACCACATATATATTGTGCTTTTCTATGGATAATAAAGATGAAAGAGAAAACAAAAACATAGCTTTTGGAAATGAAGTTAAAATCCAGGAAGAGGCAGAATTGTTAATACGTATAGTATGTTTAAAACCATCCTCAAATAATAATTTCTTAATATTATTAATCTAAGTTTGTTAGCTCTTTCATATTTGTATAGGCTGTGATACAGTTTCATTGGTTTGTATGTGTGTTATGTGTATGTATTGTTTGTTCTATTTCTTCTAGATATGGATATCAACGTTCGACTAGAAACAGAGAAGCGGACATACATAGTGGGGGAACCTGTGGAATTCAGATGCATTTTGGAAGTACAAAATGTTGCAAAGAGGTATTTCTCCATCTCTTGGGCCTTCAATAGTTCTCTCATTGCTACTTTTGCTGCTAATGCTGTGCCAGTTCTTAACAATGAATTTGCCCAGAGAGAAGCCTTGGGACAACTGAAAGTGGCCAAAGAGAGTGACAGCATTTATATCCTAAAAATCTACCGACTCCGATTGGAAGACAGCGGCAAATATAACTGTCGAGTGACAGAGCGATTGAAGACGACAACTGGTGAATTTATTGATGGAGAAAGCAAACGGCCAAAGAACACACCTATTACAGTGCTGCCCCTTAGTAAGCAGAAATCCTCTTTGCTCCTATTGATTGTGTGGGTTCTGGGACCTGAGTAGGTTTATGATGATTAGGACACAAGCAGCTAATGGGCTGATTCTTAGCTTATGTTGAGTGAAGTCTGCAGAGGAACCTAGATTCATTTTAACTGAGAAAATATATATGCCACTTCGCCTACAAAGCTCCAAGCATTTTATAGCAAATAAATTCATAAATCAAGTAGACATCGCTTAGCAACCACTCATTCAGCAACCATTCAAAGTTACCCATGGCTGTGAATGAGAAGATGTATGGATAGTTTTTAAAATTGTAGCCATTACAGTAGCCCTACAGTCGTGTAATCACAATTTGGATACTTAGCACCTGGTGTAAAATTATAACAGTCACAGCATCCTGTGGTTACAAGATTGCCATTTGTGACTTTCACTGCCAACAAGCAAAGTTAATGAGGAAATTGGCGAGAATTAGCAAGGCATAGTCAGGTGACATGACATTCAATGTCCATTCATGAGTAACAAAATTGAAAGGAACCTTGGAGGTCTTCTAGTCCAACCTCTTACTCAAGCAGGAAAGCTTATAACATTTCATACAAATAGTTGTCCAATCCCTTCTTAAAAATCTCCAGTGTTGGAGCACCCACAACATTTGGAGGCAAGTTGTTCCACTGATTCATTGTTATCCTTAGTTCTAGGTTGCTTTGCTCTTTGATTGGCTTCCATCCGTTGCTTCTTATCCTGCCTTCGGTGCTTTGGAGAATAAGTTGAACCCCTCTTCTTTGTGCTATCATGTCACCCCAAGTCCTTTTCAACCCTATGACCTTTAAGCTAGACATACCCAATTTCTGCAACCATTCTTCATATGCTTTAGCCTCCTGTCCCCTAATCATCTTTCTTGCTGTTTTCTGCATTCTTTCTAGACTCATAACATCTGTTTTATATTGTGACAACCAAAACTGGATGCAATATTCCAAGTATGGTCTTACCAAGGCATTATAAAGTGGTACTAACACTTCACATGATCTTGATTCCATCCCTCTGTTAATGCAGCCTAGTACTGTGTTGATTTTTTTGGCAGCTGCAGCACACTGCTGGCTCATATTTAAATGAATGTCCACCAGGACTCCAAGATCCCTCTTGCAGGGATCACTTAACAACCACAATTGGAATTGTCACAACTGCTGTCATAGGTCAGTGCAGTCACATTTTGTTTTTGCTTTATAATCCCTTTGTTAGCAATGGAGTTGCTGGTCCTAATAATGGCTGTTAACTGAGGATTACCTGTGTAATAGTGCTTTGTACCATCAAATTATAAATTTATTTGCAGAGTAATCCATGCTTCAGAAAAATATTTCAGACTGTAGCATATCCATACAAAGAGTATTTTTGCTTCTGCATTCTATATTGTTTTTGAAAGAGTAGAAGACTTATGCTACCCTTCCAAGCAAACTTTTTGGAAGCAAATCAGAATTATCTCAAGACTTGTATAATGAGGGGAAAGAACCATCTGAACTTGTATAAGTTCCTGAATGCATCTGTTGATCCCTGTCTTAGGGTATGTTGGACTTGATGAGCTTTTGGTGTGATATAGTAAGGTTATTGTATTCTTAAGGATATTAGGTTGGCACTGATTAATTATTGAATTCCATCTTCCGTTCCTTTCACATGTCTCCAGAACTTAATTTTTGAAATATGTATAGAAGAAAGATCCTCTTTGGAACCTTGACTTAGAATTCTTTTGTCCCTACGTCACAAGCATCATATTTTTGTTTAGATCCAAAGCAGACTCTCCCTCTCCCTTTTTCTGATGCTTTGGCTTCTTTTCCTGATTATAACAAGGAAATTAGTAAATAAATCTAAGTTTGATCTTTTCAGAATTTGAAGGCATAATGTGTACTTTTCTGAAAACTTTACTTTCAAAAAAACTAGTTTCAAGTAAATGCTGTGTTCCACATATTTTAAATTTACTTGGACCCATCTTATCCTACTAAAGTGCTTTGAAGATGAAACATTTATATCAGTAATGTATTTCTTTAGTTAACAATGGTATTTGTAAGTTGGTCATACACAGACTCTGTCTGTCTGTCTGTCTGTCTATCTATCTATCTATCTATCTATCTATCTTAAGCAATATAGTATCGGCTTTAAATAGATTTAGTACTTAGTATCAATATATTCATAGATTACTGTAAATAATGCTTACAATTATTACTGTAATCTGAATCTGGATGTTATATGAATGGAAATTATATCTGATAACTTATACAGGACAGACATGATTTTAGAACAATTTTAGAAAATGGTTTGTTTTTTAATTGAAGAAATACCACAGAAGCAGTAGACACTAATTTCTATTCTATCCTGTTCTTTCTGTATTATGCCTCTTAAAAGAGAATAGATGTACACAACAGTGAAAAACAATAACCAGCTTTTATTATTTTGTTGTATTACATATCCTTCCTTAAAACAGTTGATAAAAATGTCTCTCATTGGTAAACAGAACTGAACACTTCCCTTAGCTTCATTCTTCTTTTCACTTACTCCCCTTTAGCTCACTTTTGAGGTCTATGTTTGCAGTGGAAATAATAGGATTCCTGCAGGGCAAATAAATCTGGAGTTTGAAAACTGAAGAAATATCTTTTCTATTGTAACTTGAACATTTTAAAACCCAGTGAAATGTGGAAAAGCAGGAGTTGTGCTGACTGGTTTAAACAAGTTTGTGCATTTGCCATTCTTAACTCTCAGGTAGTAAGGATGTTCATAAGATGGATTCTTCTTACCTTAAGTAGTTGAAAAGGGAAACAGGAGATGCAGGACAGATATTATACAATTATTTTACTTAATAATAAGAATAAAATAAATCCCTCTACTGGGGGATAATACAAGGATACGCAGTTTAAAATTCAAAAGCTGTTTCCAGCATGAAAGTGATTTTTTTTCAATTAGCTCAATTTTGAAATAATTTTCCAAATATATCCTCTTATTGTTGGGTCACATGTTATATTTCTGTATGAAGAAATATGCATGTATGGGTTATCCCACATAGTCCTGATTGTAATCACATATGTTCTCCTTTACTGCAGAAACCAATATTTCAATAGAAGTATCCAACAATGCCACAAACGTTCTAGAAGGGGAGAGTCTGAGATTTGGTTGCACTGTTCGCACTGGGTTTAGACCCCAAAACCGATTATCTGTCACTTGGCAACTTGTGGATAAGCAGAACCGTCGCAGTGACATTATACAACTTGACCGGGATGGAACCCTTCGTCCTGGTCCCTCTTATGTCGAGCGCAGTAGCTATGGGGGGATCCAAATGGAGCAGATACGGCCTGGATCCTTCACGCTTGAGATCTTTAACAGCATCAAGGCAGATGAGGGCCATTATGAGTGTCGTATTACAGAATGGACACGTAGGCTGGATGGGGAGTGGCAGATGATTGGAGAGCGACATAATGGCTCAGCAGTAGCTATCACTGCACTAGGTAAGTATAACAGTGCCACCAGTTATTACATAACAGTCATCAGCTTAAGTCAGATGTATCTAATCAACATTCCCCCAAAACTTTGTGTGCGGCCTTGGAGTTGTTACAAATAAGCTGTTACCTTGTGACTTCCAGTGTTTTAAAAGGGAAATTTAAAAGGGAAATTGATTGCATATATGAAAACTAATATTAACTATATAATAATTGCTTTGACTTAATATCAGTTCAGTGAAATCAAATTTAGTTTTCATTCTGGCACTTCCTACTTTTGTGGATTGTAGAGTAAAGAAAGTAAGAAACATGACTTTGGTAGAGATATCGAAGTTGGTGCCAATCAAAAAGGAATAAAGCATATTTTAAATCTGCAACAGTCAAATAAGATTTGGAAGTAGCTTAGCAGACACTTCCCTAATTTACTGAACTGTTAGTAGGCAGAGGAAATACAACATAATTGGACTTGCAAGATTCTGTTATTGTAGCAAGTCTCAATACAAGCAGTTTTAGCTTTCCTGTGGAATTGACTTCTTGGATCTGGTCTACCTAGAATGGCTAAGAACCTCCAGGTCCAGGCATGCCTCTTAACGATCAAGAATGGACTGAACAGATTATTCAGCTCTATTTTTTATCACTGCATTTAAATCCTCCCTTCCCTCTAAGGAGTTTAAGGCAACATATATAATGATCTTTCATTTTATTGTTAAAACAATAAATATTTGTCCCCAAATCATTTAGTAACTATATGGTTTTGTTTAGGACATACACAGGCAGTTAACATAAAACTCAGTGTTATCATTTTTGCATCATCTGTTTTACTCTTCTGGGGAAAATAACCCAGTAAACCTTCATTTTTTTATGCTCCAAACTATATATACATTACTCTTAAATGCTTAAAATAGTTTTTTCAGATAATAAGTTCTGAAGCAAAAAATGTTATAATAACGCATGGTTCTTTTAAGCACATATATCACAATTGCTTGCTAGTATACTTGGGGAAAGAGATGGAAGTTTGTCTTAAAAATAGATAATAGTCTATTTGTTCTGGTACTTTTTCAATGTTTAACCATCTTATTTTCTGTGGCAGATAGGGCCAAGTTTGTTGGTCATGAACTTTCTTAAGTCCTAGTAGAATTCTCCTTGCCATGTGTTGGTGATTAAGTATTTGTAGGAAAGTAATTATTTGAGTGATATAAATTATTTGAGTGATATTTTCTTGTAAAAATCTAAGTTAGATTTTTTTTTGTCTGAATATTCTTTGGGGATTTTACATTTCTAGATCATGCTTACTTGCAGGTGTGAAAGAGCAGAACTCCCAACCCATGTTTCTTTTATAATGGTAGGACAGATGATAGAGACAAGAGAGAATTAATAGGAGATACTGATGCAGAATCCTTGTTCCATAAGCTGGTTTTCCTTGACCTTAATCTCTAATGCTATACTTAACTTTTGATTCCTAGACAGGCATAGAAAAACTGAGAAGCTGGCTATCTGGCATTTGCACAACCTCACGGGATTGTAAGAGTTTTAAGTCACCTTCCCCTCTTTTTTTATCCTGTTTCCTTGTAAGTGCTTGTATTGTTTTGGAATGACTCCAGTCTTACTGTGTTATCCAAAATTAGTTCAGTTGTTCAAATATTTATAAATCTTCATGACTTGATGGGCAACAGAATTGTCCATCAGTAACCTTTTCTTTGACTTCAGGTAAGCTCATGACCATTTTTTCTGCCATCATTTTTATTATCATTAGTATCTAGCATCTCATTTCTACCAGTATTTTTTTCTATTGCCTTATATCTTTTTCAACCATTGGGGTCTTTTTCAAAGATTTGCTTCTGCATTCTATGGCCGAAAAACTTATGCTTATGCTTCATTATTGGTGCTTCTAGTCTGGTTTCTGCCTTTGCCTTATTTATTATTGAATGTTTTTTCTTGCTGTCCAATAATTACTGCCAGGCTATATTTCCAACAATTTTCTCCTGAACCAATTTAAAGGCAACAATTTTTCTTTATCCAGATTTTCTGATAGTCTGACTTTCACAACCATTTGTTATGTCTTGGAAGACTGTGACCTTAATATCGTGTAACTTGGTAGTGTTCTGTACAAATTTTGTTTTGTTTATATCTGTGTAACCTTTGTCTCAAAAAGCAAGTTTTATTTATTTTACTAATATAAAATCATGATTCTTATGCATTGTTGAGACAGGAAAAAAGCTGTTATTATTTCTACTATTACCTCGCTACTATGCATTGGGTTGGTTTTGTCTGTTTTTAATACTAAGTATCAGACCACATTTTTGCATCCTCATCTTCCATCTTCAGCAAAAGGTTACATAAGTTTCCTTCACATTCAGCTACCAAAATGGTATGCTCAACCTATCTGAGTTGGTTAAAATTTATTAATTTATTTTATCAATTCTAATTCCAAAAAGTTATCTCCAAATTAAGCATCATTCCAAAATATGAGCTTTCTCCTATGTATGGGGATTATCAAGTCTATACTATGTTATTTTATCAATAAATTACATATTTTACAGCTAGCAAGATTGACTAGCCATTGAGAATATATTACGTTACCCAGTGAGGAAAAAGTTAAGGCAGAGAATAAAAAAATAAATAATGTTAATCTTGTAAAGCTCAGAATCCAAGATGGCTGGAGAAGAGAAAGACAATACAACATAGCGTTAAGGAATTTCTAGTGAAGTGATGCTTTGATTCTTAGAGAGGCATAGGGAAATTATTTACATGCCACAGAGTTTTCCAGAAAAAATTAAATCCATAGCTGGGAGAGAAGCAAAAATTTAAGCTCATTTGGTATCTAGCTCTGCTTCTGCTGAGCATTCAAAGTTATAAGCACCAAAAAATTAAGTTTACAACTGTCAAGAGCCACCATTTTCAACCTTCACAACCAGCTTCCAACAAAGTCAATGGGGGAGCTGTTAGGAAATTGCAAGTTGTGGTCATGTGACATCATGCTTAATGACACATGGTAATTTGCTTAACTACTGCAATGGAACTGGCCTAAGTTTGGTGCAGTCACTTGATATTGTGCATAGCAACAAAGTTGCCACCCCCGTTTGTGGTTGGTAGGGGAGGACTATCTGTACTATTTACTTCCTAGTATAAAGCAAGCAAGCACAAAAAATGTAAAATCTGATATTTCAAAAAGTGTTTCAGTACAAAGTTAGTACAAACAGAGGGGTTGCCATTCTAAACTTTTTTTAAAATCAAGAGGTCTATTATAAGGTCGTAAAAAGGGAGTTTATTAGATAAGCAAAATTCATTCCTGCAATCTGTTGGGTAAGCATAATTCTTTCACTAAGACATTATAAAATTGATTCTTAGCTTCAGTTAAGGCACTAGTGTGTGAAGGGAGTCATGCCTTCTGTACTAAAAAAGTGCCTCTTGAATGTGAATTTCCAACAATTGCATCCAAAATCTATGTCCAGTATTATTTCTGATTGTCTTCTATGAACTCTAGTCAACATAGAAAGAGAAGGAAAATATTAGTTTTTCCTTCCTCATTTAATCTCTTTTTTGCCTCTAAATCTTTAAATACATTTCAAAAAGGCTTTAATGCTAAAATTTGACCTATTCATTTGTTAATTACATAGACTAGAACTCTGCTGTAATGATGCCCTCAAATTAGAATCCTTGAAACACTTGATTGATGTGCATGTACAAAAGTTCTTTTGCAGTTCTGGAGCAACAATATAAGAACAAGATAAGATAACCTTTATTATCATTTTTTTCTGTGAACACACTGGCATACATTAAAAAATGAAATTCTGATACCTGCTCTCAAAAGAATATATATATCTTCATACACATACTTTCATATACATTACACACACAGAGAGACATATATATATATATATACTGTATATACACACACACATACATACACACATATATACATACACACATACATATATATTAATCACAGACCTTTTAAAATACATAGTGGAAAAAAAGAATCTTGAAAGTTAACAAGATTGACACTATGTTATAAAGCTATTACAGAATCTAGTTGTTCTGCTTCGGATACTACAAAGCTTCTTCCCAGAAAGTAACAAAGAAAACCCGTCATGGAGAGGATGGGTAGTGTCCCAAACAATATTGCGGATCCTGGTCAAGCATCACTTATATGCTATGTCCTGGATAAAAGGAAGTGAATTCCCAATAATCTTTTTTGCCATCCTCACCACTCTCTGCACAGCTTTCCTGATCAAAACAGTAATACCTCCAAACCACACACTAATACAATACAACAGGAGGCTTTCAGTCATCCCTCTATAGAAAGTGGTAAGCATATGGGAAGGAAGATGTGCTCTTCTCATAGGATGCAGAAAATCCAGGCGCTGTTCTGTCTGCTTCACCAGTGCCTTACTGTTGAGCAACAACTGTGTCCACAGTTGAATTGTTAATACACAGAGGTATATGGCTGTGTCTGCCTTTTCTGAAATTGACAATGATTACTTTTGTTTTTCCTACATTTAAAACCAGGCTGTTTTTATTACACCACTTCATCAAGCCCTATATACTCAATATATATTCAGTATACTCAAGAGTTGTGTTAAAAGATTTTGTAGTATCTACAGCCATGAGTTGCATATTAGACAATATTGTAGATTTAAAAACAACAAATACCAACATCTGAGGTATGCTTTTTGGTGCAAGCAACACATCTAGAAGTACTGTACAGTTTTACAAGTAACAAAACTAAGTTTCATTTTTAATGTAAACTTCAGTGTACTTGGAAACAAAATATGTTGTGCTTCATTACAGATCATTTGAAATACTACCAGCCCAGTTTTTCTCCTTAAATTTCAGGAATGAGATTACTTTCTGTACTAGAAATCAACTTTTCCTATTGGAGTTTTTAAATGTTAACTGTAACTAATACGTTACAGCAATTTTCTGTGAATTATAGTTAGACAATTGGTTGTCTCTTAACATGTATAGATTAAATCAACTTCGTTAATGTTTTAAATGGTGTTTTTTATTGTATTTTTTGGCAGATGCTGGTTTTGCAGTTACAGCCATCTCCCGCACACCTGGAGTGACCTATAATGAATCATTTGACTTACAATGCATTATCAAGCCACACTATCCTTCCTGGGTGCCAGTTTCGGTGACTTGGCGTTTTCAACCAGCTGGCAGCACCGAATTTCATGATTTGGTCACTTTTACTCGTGATGGAGGAGTTCAATGGGGCGATAGATATGTTGGATTCCGAACCCGAACAGCCATTGAAAAAGCAGAGTCCAGCAACAATGTACGCCTGAGCATCAGCAGGGCCAGTGACACAGAAGCAGGCAAATACCAGTGTGTGGCCGAGCTGTGGCGCAAGAACTACAATAGCAGCTGGACCCGATTGGCAGATAGAACTTCCAATCTGTTGGAGATCAGAGTCTTACGACCTAGTAAGTATGTTGGCAGTATTGGAAAGATTTAAGGATGAAAGCTTGCTATTCTAGAGCCTGAAATTACTCATCATTTTTAAGGTTTGTGTTTCTAAATGTTTTTTTCCTGTGGATCAATGGAAGGTGGCAATTTTTAAATTTCTTGGTACTGATTTAAATTTATGTGTTCTCAAGAGTGTATATACTTTCAGAGATCTAAGAGAAATCTGTTTCAAATTCCATGAAGTTACTATTAAAGAGAATTAGTCACTTTCTCCTTCATGAGGAAGTAGTAGGGTTCCAGAGCACGCCAGAATTAGCAGAGAAAATTCTATCTAAACTAAAGGTAAAGCATTCAAAAGAATTGAAGCTATGTTTTTAGTTCACAGCTGTTTGTCAACTTTTGCTGTAGTGTATATCTCAGACCAGGTTTGTTTTTTTTTGAAGAAAAACATCCCCTCAGTGTAAAGCTGAAGATAAATTATTGAGTACAGATGGTGTTGGCTTATATCCATTTGTTCAATGACTATTCAAAGTTAGTTCAAAGGCTGAAAAAAATAACTTATGACCTGTCCTCGAAGTTCTGATTGTTGCAAACGCCTGCAGTCACATGATTATAATCAGGTGTTCAGGTGGCTGTCTTGCATTTACAGCATTGCGCTGTGATCATGTGATTGATTGGTATTGGTGACCTTCCCTGCCAGCTTCCTAGAAGCAAACACAGTAGGGAAACTGGCAAATAAGGTTGCAAATCACCTTTGCTATCTTTTCTTCCATGAGGTCCGGGATCTTGTATTCGGTAGTATCTCTCCTGTCCACCCTCAGCCTCCAATGGCTCTCCCAGGCCTTCTCTAATCCACGCATGGCTTCTGCCAGCCCACCTGCACTCCATAGTGCCTGCTTGCACACACCCACTTGTTGCCTGAGACACCCGTCTCTTCCCATTTAATGACCTATGCAGCGTTGGATTATGACAGCAGTCAAGATTGCCAGGATTGCTGTCATTATGTACAATTGCACTTTATGTTCGCATTGTTTATCAGCAGCAATCTTGGTCCCAATTGCCATTGTTACCCAAAGACTACTTCTACATACGTATATACTTGCACTTGTGAATACATGTATTTCGTGCATCTTATTTTTGCAGCTAAGGGGTATTGCATAATGATTAAAAAATTATCTCCTTTAAAAAGTCTCAAAACTTCACAAAACATACTGAGACCATAGTCATAAAAAAGCATTGCTATATAGCTTCCTTATAGAACTTTATTTTAAAAAAGAAAATGCAAGATCACATTTGAATGGTCCCTATATAAACATATAAATCAGCAAAAAAAAATCCTTGCATGGGGAATACTTCAGACTGAAATTAGTGTTTGGAATTATAGAAGGTATCTGTATGTTTACAAAAATGTAAACAAGTAAAATTATAGGGCAAAATTGTTATTATATTCAACAAAGATGCACAAGTATGTCATTCAAAGATTTCTTCAAGCATAAAATGTTGGCTAAATTCCAACATCAATCAGTAATTCTATTTATCTAGCTCATTCCATCTAATTTAAATTGGATAATGTTTTAGTATATTATATCTGCTATAGTAATCTCATTTCTGGGTCTCACTGATATGTGTGTCTGGTACATATAATTTTTGTCATTTAGTTGCAAAAACAAATGCTTTACTTCAGTATTTCTTCAGTATGTAATCTCATGATGCTGTTACCTTCTATTTATACACCATTTTCAGTCTCCTTGGAGAATCTAAGAAGGGTTGGATGTTAAAATCACTGTATAATTTTGTAAATGGGGCTTGATGTTAACACTTCTAAAACAGCATAGGCATTTGTCTCTTTGCTTAGCACAGTTTTCATTGCTAGTTGTAGATGTAATTGGCAAGCAGTTCTTAAATTCAAAAAGGCAAGTTGCTGTATTTTGTACAGGGCTATAAATAATGTAGGGCAGAACTTATATCTAGTCAGTTTCAATCTCCAGAGTCCTGAGACAGGCTGAGTCCTGTTACATGCTATGATGACTGAGCTATGTTATAAAGGGTTGTGCTCAGTGGTGGGATTCAAATATGTGAACAACTGGTTCTCTGCTTGTATGCCGCTTCCCTGGACAACAAAAAATTAGCTACTGGTTCTGCCGAACTGGTGTGAACCGGCTGAATCCCACCACTGGTTATGCTAGTGAAAACAGAATCCCAAAGTCTACTGACTATAGATTGACATGACAGGCCTTTGAGGATAGTGAAAAAAGTAATGATAGTAATAGTGCAAATGCTGAAGAAAACCTTGCCAGAGCAAACAACTGTAAATAAATAGAGAGAAAATCCTTCTAGCACTAAAGAGGATACATAGTCAGTTAACAAAACATTTGCTGGAAAACCACTAAGCTCAGTAAAGCACCAAGGAGTCCAAAACAATATATGCTGAGTTGTAATTAACAAATATATATTTTAAGAGTGTTAAGACCAATAATTTATGTTCAGTGTTTCAACTAAATTCATAGTACTTTCTCATGAAAGCTCCCTCATGCCTACCAAGGTGCCTTTTTCAGCAATTCAAGTTACAGAAGATAAGAGGATTGGACTCAGTTCTTGCTATTGTTAAATAGATGGCAATCAGAATGTTTTGCTGATCTACCATATTAATAGATCCTGCTATAATGGGATATGAGGAATAGTCTCTACAGAATTGAAATCAGAAGGAAAACCGCCTTGTTGAATGTAATATTAGCAATGCAAAAGCTTTTGGCTAATGTTCTTCCCTCTTACCTCAGGTGTGGGCACAAACGCAAAATTGGAAGTATTTCCTACCATTTTTTTGTAGTGTCTAAATCCAGTGAAATGACTTCTTAACTATAATATAAGAAAACAAATTAAATATGGTGTAAAAACATGAGCAAACTTAATGTGATACTCCATAACCTTTTTTTTTCTGAATACAGAATACAAAATAACAAAATATAAAAGGGATCTTGGAGATTTTCTAATCCAACCTCTACTAACTATATTTTCTCTGTTCGATTAAAATGATAAACTACAGTTACACATAAGTGAAAGTTTTTGATCCCCTGAAAGTAATGCTGTACAGAAAAAATAATGTTAGTAACATTCAATAGCAATTCAACTTTGCATTTAAATGAGATCACCATTTCTCTCGATAAAGGGATCCAAAATGGCTGACATCATTTACTGAAAGCAAAGGAAATTAAATCTTCTTGCTTTCCTGGAAGCCAACTGTGTTAATAAAGTAGTCTAAGCTTCCCCAGCTTCATTCTTTTAAAAAAAAAGATTCTGAAGTTATTCAGATAGGATGATGAATTTGTAATAGAGGTCGTATTAAGACATGCAAAACGTTTTTGGAAGAAATTGTAGGATGGCACTTTCCATATTTATTAGTTCTGTTGATTACCTCACTCTCTTGAAATATATTTTGAGATCCATGACACAAGCTGAAGTAAATATGTCTGAGGGCCTCAAACAAAGACAGCAAACTTACTCCTGGTCCTACTGTCACATGACAGATGGCTGTATTGCAGACTACTGAGTAGAAATATTTATGTATGACCTCTAACAAAGAACTTCACTGACTGATTTCTGCATATATCAGATTGCTACAGGCTTGAGGTATATTAGTGCAGTTACGTTTTCAAACATGATCTGCATTAAGTGCTGAAAAAAGTATTACACTGGCAAATAAGAAATGTTTCCGTTTTGAACTTTTGTGGTCCTTGTTTTTTTACTTGAATAATGAAGAGACAATGTTTGTTGATTTTGCTCCTGTAGATGTTTCTATCCTTTATAAGAAAATCTATAAGGCCCCTTCAGATTATGAGTAGAAACCCACAACATAGTTTGTGTAGTATAAAATATGTCTGCTAAATATTAATAATCTATTTGATCAAGAAATCTCTTCTGTCTTATACTTCTAAAATATCTGATACTTAAGCAATAGCTGAATTAACTAACTTTGAAAGAAGCACACTAGATTAAACTGCAATTGGTTTATAAATATAATGTGCTTTATTACTATTTGATTGATTTAAAGCAAAAGATAGAATACAGGTAGCAGAGAAACCTTGAGAAACCTGTTTCCAAAATCTCACACTGCTTGCTACATTTTCAGATCTGGCCCCACAAGTGGTTTACTTTAGTGCCTCCAAAAAGACTTCCCCCCCCCCCCCCCATGAGAACATTAATTAGGAGAAATAGTCTTGTGGCTTCCTTTCTAATTTACAGACAGCTATTTAAATTAAATCAGCTTTGGTGGAAATAAAGTAGTGTGCTCAGTGACCTAAAAATATAAATGCTGCCCATTATAATGAAGAGGAAAGGCCAGAGATGGCAATGTGTGCATCGGTAACACAATATAATAATCAGTTACTAGTTTCTCAGATCCCAAGCTAAACTAACATTAGTGAATTAAATGTAAGAATAAAATCTATTTCTAGATTTCTAATTTAGAAAACTAACTTTTAAGTATTCCATTAACTAATATTTTGATACATCTGAACAGAGAACTGTAACAGGATAAATAAAATACCTTCCATCATTCATTCCAGAATTAATAATGTTCCCACCCATTATTATAAGTTGACAAGTACCGGTATTTGATAAATATTTAAGTATTCCTAGAATTCATTGAACAGAAATGTCATGAAGCCCTTTTGCTTTCCAAATGTAAACATCCATATAGCTACACTAACTCATCCAATTGTAGTAGTTCCTGCTGGAAGACATGTAAGAGCTTTCCAGTTTTAGATACGTGGAGAAAAATGAGGTACTGTATCTATAAGGAAACCCAGACATAATTGAAAAACAGCCAAGAGCGGTACTTAATTAATCACTAAATTCAGTTTCTACATCAGGATGTGGATTATAGCTAATGGAAAGACTGCTCAATCTATAAAGGTGGCATTGAAAGCCATGGGCCAATGAACAGGCAAATTGATTGAAGCTGAAATAAAGAGCAAAACAGTTAGATGCTGTACATTAGATAAGATCAGCAGCTCTTTGG